TATATATATATATATACACGTGTGTTACAACTAAAGCGTAGAAATCAGCTAATCTACAAATTATTTTGCAAATTTTTTTCCAATTTGCATATTGCATAGATAATCTGCACATTACCAACTAGGCATACGTTAAAGTGAAATTTAGATTTTTGTTATTCTTTTTATTTTCCGGTTTCTAAATCATAGAGTTAATTTAATCAAACAAACTAGTTGCTAGAATCAGTCATCAATCAAACCCTAAGCTGAACAAAATTACAAAGAATCAAATGGTTTGAAATATCGCTGCAATGAAGGGCGTTAACATAAGGCTGCTTATCTTTTATTCGATACCAAAACAATCAAATTAATACAATCAAACAATCTAGAAATTATTTGATAGAATAAGAGAAACATTCTTTTTGAACTTTAATTGTATAAAGACCGTTAATATGCACATTTCCGGAGTAAATTGCATAAAACTATTGATTCTGCACTTTGAATGAAATCACTCTAGTTTATCTGCAGATTAGCTAGGTATTGTGCATAATTAACGACATCTGTGCCTTAACGATAAATATGTATATTATTAAGAGTTATAACGTGTATAAAATTAATTAAAATTTGTATGAATTTATTTTTACAGATCATCATTGAAGTATAATTTTCCAAGAAATAAAGACGCCTGTGATTGAAAATTTATTTGTACAACAAATGATAAATAAATTTTAAAAAAACTGAAAATAAACAGTATTTTATTTAAATCATGAGTCATTTTATTTTCTTCTAAAAGTTTTGAAATAAAGCTTTTATTATTTTTGTGAAATTTTTTCCAATGACCGAGAGAAATCAGCAGTTGCAAAATCGCAGAACTACAAGTTTGCTTGAAATGGTGCAACAGGGTATATGACCTCCATTTATTTCCCCCCCCCTGCAATAAATGATCATTTCGCCGAGATTTCTTAATCATTACTTACATCAATGTTATACTTATGTATGTAAAATTTCATTCCATTCAGACAGAGACAACTCTTTCTTGATGTTCGAATTTTTATGACAAAAAATGAAATTTCGCATTGCAAAGGATTATTACAATTCAAAAAGTGTCCGCACTTATGTTAGCTATATACATATTCTTAATTTATCAGGTTTTGGACAAAGCAAATAAATTTTTTATTTAATTTTCAAAAAACATTTCTTAGTATGTATAGGTTTTCCAAACAATCATAAGATTACTTTTTAATTAAAAAAAATCACAAAAACTTCAACTTTGTTAGCGATATGCATGCAACAAAATTAACTTATTTTGCATTAAACAAATAAATTTTTTAAATTTCTATAAATATTTCTGAAGAGATATGAGTGTTTTCAAACAAATTGACACTTGCTTTTAATTATGAAATCCCGTTTCAAATGAATTTCGCATTTTAGAAAAATTATAGAAAATTCATGTCCATTGTGTCAGCAGTATACTGAACTTAGCTTAGACATGTAGCTGGTGTTTTACAAAGATTTTTTTTTTGTTGAGTTTAGCCATCGTGAATAGCTATTGGCGATCGCAACGCTCAAATACGCCATCTGGGGAGAGACCGGTTTCTTGCCTTTGGCCCTTCTCCCTTCCCTCTCTTCCTCTTTTCAGTTGTATAGGAATGTACTACGATATTTTCTTAATATTTTTACTTTTTATTTAATAAAAATATTTTTTAAAGTTTCCGTGATACTTTTCTTTAGAACCATGTTTAATGTAGTTTTCAGTTCCATGTAGTTTTCCAACTTAAAAGATTTTAATCTCTATGAAAATCAAGAGAGAAATTAACATAATTCCTTCCTCTATGACTCTCCACACGCTAATGGGGGGAAAGCATGTAAAGTGTTGCTATAAGTAGAGAGTTCTGCACGCCACCTACAGCCCATTTTGATCGCCAATATTTATACAATTTGCTTCCGAAAGAAAAAGGAACGAAATTATGAATCTCATTGATAATTTCAGCTGACCCATATGTTAAAATTTATGGAAAATCAAGATCAGACAAAATATTCTGCAATAAGGCACCTTTCTCACTGCATGCAAAAAATTATAGATAAAGAATGCGGAGATGCGAGCTAGAAACTTTTTAGCGAGTATTTCACAAATACATATTCCACCAATCAGGTTCTCATCCACATCTTCAAATTCACTTACACACGGTTTTCACATACAAAGAGAATGGTGCTTTTGTATACATTGCACCAATCATATTTTCTATTCGCTCTGTTTCTCCCTGATTTGCGAAATTTTCATGTACTGATCTGCAGGATGCAGTGAGATCGTATGCGCAATTTGTTTCAGTGAGAATGAACCTATGATTCCGCTACTTTTAACATATGTTAAATTTAGCAATACGTGTGTCTGCATGCGATTAACGCTATTCTAATTCCGTCAAGAGAGAATCTGATCGGGAAATACTCTATCTTGAGAAAAACGTATCAAAGCATCTCTCTTTCTCTGGATTTCGAACGGTGGTGCGTAAATTGCATAAGAGCAGTTTCTAATGAGTCATTCACATTGCATTCAATTAAAAGCATTTACACTGTATACGATTTTTTTATTTTATTTTATGACCGCCGTTGAACAGTCGACCCAATTTTTGGGTTTACGACTACAAATGTTCAACGCCGTAGCCTTGTAATTTTGAACCAATCCAGAAGACAAGGAAACTCCTGGATCGGTACACTGTATACGATTGCTCTAAACGCGCGCTAGTGCTTAGTAACTACATGTAAAAGAATTGCATGCGCTAGCAGCCTCAAGTCGCATATAGTGGATATGCTGCATTAGCATGTGAGTGTAAAGTAATCATATGCTGCGTCCTGAATGCAACTGAGGCACTACTGACTACCCACTTGCGCATCTGCTATCAAACCGGCTTTCCGGTGAAGAGAAATTGAAATTCTTGAGTATGTGCTGCCATCTGTTAGTATTCATATGAAAGAGAATCTGAACCTTCTCTCAGTTCCTGAAGAAATTTTAGAGAGCTTACTTAAAGTTGGTTTCCCCTACAGGCCGTTATCGGCCGGTCGTTTTGGTTACTTCACTGCGGGGGTGATGGGCAGGTGATTTGAAGGAGCAGGAAGATGATGGAAATCCTGCAAGGTTTTATCATGCAGGATTAGGCATTTTGAGTTTTAAAACTCTCAAAGAAAGCTATGAAATAATGACATCTGCAGTAAGTAATAATATATAACAGCACAAATTGCACAAACGTTGTGCCCTTTTTTACAGTAAATAAAAGAGTAGGCCTAGTTCTAATGAATCGAACTTTTTTTTTTCCAATTAGAAAAGTATTAAAACGAATTCAATATTGTATTATCTTTCCCGTCAATATAGAAATCGAAAATAATAATAAATATATATCGTGCTTATCTTGTGAACAATTTCTGGTCAATAATTTTATTTCTCAAAAATTGAAAACAATCAATATGTCAAATGTATGCAATGTTTGTCTATCGAAAATTCAATTAAGTAGGAAATATTCTATAATTTAGATATTACTTATTACATTTGGTAATGTGCCATAACGAGGGGTTATTTTCTTCTTGCATTGTTTAAAGTTATCAGTAATTTTAAATTATTTGGATTATAAGGATGTAAAGTATCCAGACCTTGCTCTATAGTTATATTTATAAAATTTCTCCTTGATTTTCATTCCTATTTTGTTTATAATCTATGTGTTAGAATATTTGAAACTGTATTTTTTCATGTAAATTAATGGATAACAAAAAATTTGTTGTAAAATATGAATTACTAGTATAAAAATTTTTAGTTATTTTTCTACATCTATATGTTATTATCTGCGTTGAATTGTCCTAGTTATTTAAGCAATTTTAAAACTATTCTGATCAATCGTTTTGTTTAAATTGATTTTAATTTGTAACTCTTTTTAGTTGGTTTAATCCCATAAAATAATTCAATTCTTCACTGTATGATGGAGTCATTAATTATCTGCGTTGAATTGTCCTAGTTATTTAAGCAATTTTAAAACTATTCTGATCAATCGTTTTGTTTAAATTGATTTTAATTTGTAACTCTTTTTAGTTAGTTTAATCCCATAAATAATTCAATTCTTCACTGTATGATGGAGTCATTAAAAGCTTTGAACTAAAAGTTAATTTTCAATTAATACTTTGTTATATATTTCTAATATTTAAAATATGCACATATATTTTTTTAGTTTATTTTAAGCAACCTTACCAGTACATTTTATAAAAAATCGAAGTAATATATTGCTGGAAAAATTTGAGTAGTATATTTAGAATAACTGGTAAAGTAATATTTAGGTTACTTTTTAAAAAAAAACCTACCACTTTATGTTTCAAAACATTAAATCTTATTGTAAAGAAACAATAGTAATTAAAAAGCTTCAGTGTGAAAATTAATTATTGAAATATATTAACAAATTCCTCAATAATATTTAGAATATCTTATAATCTAAGATAAGATAATATTTTTGGTAATTATTTAAACAAATGTACATCAGTATATATTACAAATTTCTGCAAAATATTATAGAAAACTTAATATAATATTGAAGTTCAAGAATAAAAATTAATTATTGACATATATAATACTGTAGTACTTTCTGATATTTATAATAACTGATATGATAAATTTGTTTTGTTTATAAACAAACCTATTACATTATTTCACACATAACATTAAAATGTAGTTGAAAAATGTTTGAAATGTTAGCTGCTAAGTAAAAAATTATTTTTTGTCGTATGGAATACTGTAGTATTTTCTAATACTATTTAGAATATATAGATAATAATTTTAAACTTCAAAAAGAAAAAAAAGAAGAAAAAAAAAACGTTATTTATTATTTAGTACATCAATGTTGCTACTACTAAGAAATATTTTCGCCAATGACCAGTAGGTTACTACTATTTTGATATTTGAAATTATTTGTTTCCAGTTGGTGACATAAGCAGATATTTGGAATTGTAAAAGACTAAGATTTCCGAATGGAATTGCAGGGTTCTAATCAATGCCACTAGTTTAATGGTTATTTATCAATACCATATAAAGTGAATATTTAGTATTTTCTAAAATTTATATTGTATTTATATATTAAATTATTTTAATCAATTTTTGGTATTATAATTTTTTTTAGTATAAGTGTTTTATTTGAGACAAATTTACTTAAATTAAAATATTGTGTTTTTGTTATTTAAGTATTTTTGTAGTCATTTTTACAAATCTGCCGTAATTTCTCAAGGATGCAAAACTCTTGAGAGGAAGGAATTGTAGAGAATTGCATTGAAAATGTGAATGTACCTTATTTTTGTTGAAAAAGAGAATAATCTTTACTAATAGACTTTACTAAAAAAAAAAAGTGGCTTATCTTTACTAAGAATGTGAATGTACCTATAACGAATTTTATAACTAGATTTGATTAGATTACAAGTCTTCAGACAGATGCACTAACCTCTGCCACTGGTTTAGATTAGTTTGATATCTGATATATAGTATAAGAGTCACGTGGTATTTTGCTTTAGTGACTAGGGAATGTGTTATCGATGATGTCAACCTTCTATCAAAGATACCTCAAGATTGAATAGAGTTAACTTATCTTATATGCTAGTGACTCGATGTTTAATGATCATAGTGGTTGTTCCACCGAACTCCTCCACCAAAATTTTATCAGGACTAGAATTCGATAAACGGATATCATTAGTTGCGGTATTTACGAAAGACCGGAAGAGCTGTGTTAAGATTTTGAGCTGAGAGTTGTTTTAAGTTCACCGAGTTTAGAGTTTGTCGTGAGAACTGTGTGTGTCGTCTCTCTTGTGTTGCTATTAACAGTCGAGTCTGTGCAGGATTCTGTTGTGTGTAAATGGGACTGAGAAGCAACAGCGTGGGGAGGACAATCAAGCAATCACAAATAGCAAGTCATCGAAGTATGTATGAACATATCACGTCCGAAGGTCACCAATGTGGGGAGTGGGTTATCAACCTTCTATCAAAAGGTAACTCAAGATTGAGTAGAGTTAACATGTCTTATATACTATTAAATAAATATTTAATAATCATTGTGGTAGTTACGCCACAGTGCCTTTAACTACTACTTTTAACGTATATTCCATTGACTAACTTAATGTTGAAATGAAATTTGTCACTTTAGCAACTTGAGTTATATGATGGATGGATAATTCTATTTATAGAACTATCTAGTTGTAGGATTGACTTAATTTTTTTTAAATTATTTACTTATTAGTTAATAATTCAATAGTGTTAACATTTTCTTTTGACACTGTTACATTTAGGTCTGTGTAATACATTTATGGCATGAAGTATATGCTAGTAATAGTTGAATAGTTTTACTTTCATATTTTCTTATAAGTTTTGTTATGAAAATAATGAAATTAAGTAAAAGTTTTAGGATTTTTATATTTTTTGCCAAACCATATTAAAATTTTATTCAAATTTATTTTTATTTCAAATTAAATTTTTTTTCATTCTTAAAACCATGTAAGTATATTTCAGCATTAATATTTATTTATAATTAAAATTATGTATTTCAAACCAATCTTTTTTTTTATTTCTTTGTAGGAATCCCGGCAGCGTCCATATAAAGTATGGAGCTGTGACAGACAAACTAGAAAAGCTGTCATGGCATCGAATTTAAGAGAACTGCGAGAAAGAGGTTTGTCATTCGATTTATAATTCTATTGATTCCAATATACTTATTATTTCACTTAAAATTTATATATTTTTTTAACTGTACAAATTTTACAGTTCTGCTTGAAAAAGTTTATTTATCTAGTAATTGTTATTAAGTAAATATACATGATTTCTGTTGTTAGCATTTATTTTTTCAAATAATGCAAACATGGTGCATAGCGTTTTTAAAAAGTGCTTAAAGGTGCTTATTTTTGATTTTCGTTATTTAAAAGCCCTTAAAGGTGCTTTTTTCATTGGGTGTTTTTAAAAAGTGCTTAATTTTCCATTTTCAAAAATTATTTTTTTTCGATACCATGTCGATTTTCACCATGTGTTATGCAGAAGCGTGCCTTTCACATTGTTCTATTCAACGTTTTCACAATTCATTTCAGCGGACCGTCGGTCCATAGCACAGGAAAGCGCCAATCATTTTACATGTTTGATTAAATACTTGTGAGTTCGTATGTGTGTCACCTGAGCTGGGATTGGTGAGATTATTGCCCTCTCATGTGCAACTCTGCTGCATTTTGCAGGATATTCTGAATGTCAGGCTTCATTTTCCACCCTCTGATATCAAACCGAAAAATTTCTTGATAATTTTATAATGGCTAATATAATCAANACATGTAAGTATATTTCAGCATTAATATTTATTTATAATTAAAATTATGTATTTCAAACCAATCTTTTTTTTTATTTCTTTGTAGGAATCCCGGCAGCGTCCATATAAAGTATGGAGCTGTGACAGACAAACTAGAAAAGCTGTCATGGCATCGAATTTAAGAGAACTGCGAGAAAGAGGTTTGTCATTCGATTTATAATTCTATTGATTCCAATATACTTATTATTTCACTTAAAATTTATATATTTTTTTAACTGTACAAATTTTACAGTTCTGCTTGAAAAAGTTTATTTATCTAGTAATTGTTATAAAGTAAATATACATGATTTCTGTTGTTAGCATTTATTTTTTCAAATAATGCAAGCATGGTGCGTAGCATTTTTAAAAAGTACTTAAAGGTGCTTATTTTCGATTTTCGTTACTTAAAAGCCCTTAAAGGTGCTTTTTCATTGGGTGTTTTTAAAAAGTGCTTAATTTTCCATTTTCAAAAATTACTTTTTTTCGATACCATGTCGATTTTCGCCATGTGTTATGCAGAAGCGTGCCTTTCACATTGTTCTATTCAACGTTTTCACAATTCATTTCGGCGGACCGTCGGTCCATAGCACAGGAAAGTGCGAATCATTTTACATGTTTGATTAAATACTTGCGAGTCCGTATGTGCGTCACTTGAGCTGGGCTCGGTGAGATTATTGCCCTCTCATGTGCAACTCTGCTGCATTTTGCAAGATATTCTCAATTTCAGACTTCATTTTCCACTTTCTGAAATTGAACCAAAAAATCTCTCGGATCATTTTATAACGACTAATATAATAAAAAAAGAGCTCTTTGTGAAAAACTAGTTATTTTATCATGATCATCTAAAGTCTTTGAAAATTATTTTTCATTTTGTTAATGTATATAGTGCTTAAAAATATTTTTTGAATGCTTAAAAGGTTCTTATTTTTTGTTGAAAGATTTGGCTATGCACCCTGTACAAAGTTTATAAGATAAATCTTGAATCACTGGATACTTCTTCACATATTCATGCTCTTTTTATTGATTAAACAGATTGTGTAGCATTTTTTTAAAAAATTTAATTTTTTAAAAACAGTAAGTATTTTTTAAAGGTGCTTATTTTTGATTTACATTTTTTAAAAGCCCTTAAGGGTGCTTATTTTATTCATGGTTTGTAAAAAGGGCTTTATTTTCTATTCCTTTAAAAAAGATTTTTTCTCTGCCATGTTGATTGTCCTTCTAAATTACAAAAGAAAATTCATGATTTTCAGAATTTTCACTGCAATATTTATCAGAAACTAGTTATTTTATGATTATGTAAAGCTTTTGAAAATTTTATTGATTTTATGTTCATAAATTAAGCACTTTAAATGATAAAAAAAAATTTTTTTTATTGCTGCACAGATCCCAATTTTGATTTTTTTTGGAAAGTGATATAAAATATTATTTGAGCGCTTAAAAAGTACTTGAAAGGTACTTATTTTTTTCCTTAAAAATCTGGCTATGCACCCTGTTTAAACACAATTTCCTTTTATTAAGTTGATTTTTAAAAAGATTCTTGATTTACAGATTGATATGTGAATTAAAATATCTATCCACTGCATATTTTTTTATTCTGTATTATATTCTCATGTAATTTTGCATTGGGATGTTATTGTGATAAGATTAATAAGATTTCAGTAGAATAGATTTTTTTTCCTTAACAGGGTTCCCCCGGTACTTGAAAAACCTTGAAAGTCCTTAAATTTTGTTGAAAAAAATCAGGACCCTGAAAAGTCCTTGAATTCTGCCATAGGGTACTTGAAAAGTACTTGATTTTTTAGGAATTAAAATAATACTAATCTTTCCTACAAAAAGCAGTAAAAAAATAATAAATAAATTCAAAGGAAAATTATAGAAATTCAGATGGATGCAAAACTTTTCTCTCCTAGATTTTTCATACCGGATTATTGTTCATCTCTCTGATATTTTGAAAGCTGAAATTTTTAGCAAATTTTAGGTTTTGTAGTCCTAGTTTTCGAATGATATACAGTGTTAAATCGATTTAGAAACATGTTTAATGTGTTAACTTCGTTATTGCAACAGGTTAATATTGTTATCCTATTTGTTCTTTTAATTTACATACAAAGAATAATTAATTTTTTATCATGTATAATCAAATTTTTATGTTTAGTTTTTACTGCTAATAAATAAATTTTAATTCTACAGGTTTAATTGATTATGAATAAACATTGTGATTCACATTATACTGATTCTTGATTCACGAGTCAGAATTCATATAAAATGTTTTACGAATTGCGATTTAAGTGTAAGTGATTACTGAATCACATATCGAATATTACTTTAAAGTGATTTGCAAATTACTCATCAGGATTTCAATTAAAGTTATTTCTGAATCATATAATGTGATACATATTTAAGTAATTTCAGAATCATACCTCACAATTTTCATTCTAGTAGTTTACAAATCAGGCATTGAGTTTACAAATCAGGCATTGCGATTCACAAAAGAGAGATTTAAGAATTACCACTTGCAATTCTCATCAAAATGATTTAAGAATCACACATAGTTGTTCTATATTAAGCACCTTTCGAATCACAAATTGCAGTTTGCATCATAATGCTCACAATTCACCTGAAAACTATTAGCTAATCACGCAACAAAATTCATATTGAAGTGATTTATGTATCACACATTGTGATTTACGTCTTGTATGTTAGTGTGTTTTGTATCATTTGCAATTCATATTGTTCCGATTTAAGAAACATAAACCTCAATTCAATTTACAAATTACACATTGTGATAAGTGATTTACGTAATCTTTGTGACTTACTTCACCTTTCTTATAACTTTGATTTACATATAGTTTATCTAGATTCGTATAAATACAATTTAAAAATTACACATTTTTACAATATTGTAAAAATTACGCTTCACATTTTATGAATATATTTTAAAGAAAATAAAGCTTGGTAAGTTTTCTGTAAAATATTGTTCTACAATAGATTTCATTATGATTAAAATACATTACTCATTTTCTGAAGTAACAAAATAGATAATTTGTTATTAAAATTGAAACAGATATGTTAAATGGATATATTTTATCTAATTATATACATTTCCTGTAACCTAAAATTTGATCTAACATATTAAAAAAATTACATTTTAATAACCATGCAATTGCACAAACTTTATCAATTATTTACTATGCTTGTTTAATGTAATATGCATTATTCATTCCCTCAATTTCATTAATTCTAATTCAGTTCATTAAATTTTTCGAGAAAAGTTTCACTGATGCTAGTTTTTAAATGTTTGCTCGTATCCTATGTCAATTGAAGTTTTTTTTTAAGTCAATTGGAATTTTTTAAAGTTATTTGAAACAGCAAGGCAACTCTCAACCATTTGTATTATTAGATGATAAATCTAATAAATAGTTTTTCTTGTATTCAAATAAGAACTGTGCTTTAAAAACATACAATTTCTGCTTCTACGTAATTGTAAAATCTAGTTGACATGTAATTTAGCATATAATTGTAATACTGAATAGGTCCTTGAAAAATTTATATTTTTGGTCCTTGAATTTTTTTTAAAAAAATTGAGTGGGAACCCTGCTTACCCACTTTTTCTCAAATCATATTATATTAACACTTTTCATAATCGAACATTCATATTATTGTAGGAGCAACACTGAGTATGTCATATTGAAATTATATTCCGACATATTTATTCCTTTAATTCACTCTTATCTAAATGATATTCTATTTTTTAATAGGTCAGTAACGCGCCTCTACGTTTCATTTGAATGAGACCTTGCCTTTTTCCTTTCTCGTTTTATTTTTAACTTATATAACTGATGACTTCTACTAATCATTTCTGCCTAATAACTCTTTTTAAAATTAAAACAGGGTATCTGCACTCCTGGAAAATCATGAATTTTGATATTAAACAAAATTTGTCATGATTTGAACTATTTTTTTAAAAAAAAAAAATCAGGGAAAGTCATGGATTTAGGTCACCGTAAAATCTAATTTTTAAAATGTAACCCCCCCCCCCCAATTTTGTGGTGCCTCCGAATATCTGAATTTGTAACAAAATCCCCACTCACTGTCATATTTGATTAAAATATAAAATGTTTTTATTATGTTCTTTCAAAAAAAGAAAGAAAAAACATTATTTCTAGTGCGAATTATCTTTTAAACTACTGTGATTTCAGAATTTTTTTTATTTTTATTTTATCAGTTTAAAATTCTAGCCGAAATAAGCCAGTCATCGACGAATTTTTTTTAATTCCGAAATAAGAACAGAAAAATCAGGGGGTTTTCTTTCCTTTCCGATAAACAAAAACAAAAAAAAAATTGCTTTTGTATTTTTTTCAGCTATTTCATTGCTTCAGCTCTTTCTTTACTCTGTTTTTTAAATTTAAAATCTGTTTTTATGACGATGCAGAGTATAACAGTTTCCTCTCATTTCAATTAATGTTATTACAATGATTTTTTAAATTTATTGTTGTTTTTTTTCGGAAAAAATAGTAACTTCGTTTAGTCATGAAAAATTCTTGAAATTAGTCATGGTAAGTTATGAATTTGAAAATCTAAAATGTAGTAGATACCCTGCAAAAATTTATCAGCAAAACTGAAACACAGCTAGTTAACATGTGGCTATTTGGCATCACTTGAACCTGTTAATTTTCAAGGTTCATTTTCAAGCGACCTACAAATATTTTTTTGAAGCTCCAAAGATAATTTTCTCTATTATGATAGATTTGATATACATCTGGCCAACTTGCTATATTTTTATAAATTTATGCTTCAATGAAGATAGAAATTATTACGGTTATTGCTTACGGCATCTTCATCACACTACGAACTTAATACCATGGAATGGTTTTGTAATGGTCAGTATCTAGTATGCAGTAGATTCTGGAAAGTATTTTCTTTTCAAGTGACTCATATTTTCAACAGAGGAACAGTAGCATAGAAAAATACCAATGTGAAAATCAAAACCAATCAAAATTGCTCCAGGAAAATATAAAAGCCTTGTCGATGAGAATATTTAGTTATTTATGATATTTTTTACTTGGATGAAAGTATCTAAGCAGTGTTGTAGTGACTCGTTTTCAAATAGAGAAACACTAAAAGAAGAAGAAAAAAACTTACATTTTATGTGCATTTTTATTAAAACTATCATGAAAAAATGTGGAAGAAACTTTTGTTTCCATTTACATTTTTGTTTTGTTTCCATTTAAATTTTTAAAAAATGCTTAAAGATGCTTAATTTTGTTTTTTAAATGCCTTTGAAGGTGCTTTTTTCATGGGGTGTTTTTAAAAATGGCTCAATTTTCCCTTTTCGAAAATGAGATTTTTTTCTTAACCATGTTAATTTTCATCAGTTATTATGCAAAAGTGTGTTTCTCACATTGCTCTATTCAACGTTTTCTCAGTTCATTCAACCACAATCCATTTCAGCATACCGTCAGTCCATAGCACATGAAAGCACCAATCATTTTACAAGTGGGATGAAATACTTGCGAATTCGCATGTGTGTATAGTGAGCTGGGTTCGTTAAGATTGTTGCATGCTCATGTGCAACTCTACTGCATTTTGCAAGATATTCACAATTTCAAGCTTCATTTTACACCCTCTTAAATCGAACCGAAAAATCTCTTGGTCATTTTTTAATGGTTAATATAATAAAAAAAGAGCTCTTTGTCAAAAACTAGTTATTTTATCAGGATCATGTAAAGTCCTTGAAAATTATTTTGCATTTTGTTAATGTATATAGTGCTTAAAAATATTTTTTGAGTGCTTAAAAAGTACTTAAAAGGTGCTTATTTTTTGTTAAAAGATTTGGCTACACACCCTGTTAAAGTAAGACTTTTCCCATTTATTTTAATTTCATTATTTAATTTTGTAATTTTATTATAATTTAATGCTAAATAAAATGAAATTGAGTTTTTAGAAAATGCACAAACCATATATATTTATTCGTTTTTATTTCATTTAAACTTTAAAGATTTACTTACAAAACTTCAAAATACATTTTCAAAAATTTAAAAAAAAATTGTAATATATTAAAAATTTTGAAATTTATAGAAAATTATTTTATTAAAAACCAAAAGGATACACTATACTCCCACAGTTTCTCTCCCCTACACAACGAGTCTGATTTATCACAAGGTCTGAGAAGCCTAGGACAAATATATATATCTTTTTTGTGTGGGTATTTTTCCTTAAGAGTTATGTATTAGAATTATGACAGCAATTTGAATCTATATAACCTCAAATTTACTAATGTATCTTAAATTTATGTTATAAATTATTTAAAAGCCTTTTGCGAATAAACTACTGGCAAATTTAGTTTGAAGTTTTGACCCGTGACCACCAGGCAATTCTTTGCCTGCAATCAATTTCAAAATCAGGCCCTAACAAAACAGTGAAAACTGATACATATTGTAAGCGTTAAAAATAAAAGTGTAATATCCTGTACAAAATAAAGGAAATAGTAAATTAATCACCATTGCATTTTTATACAAATGCAACTTTTACTTTGATGTTGTAAAATCTCATCTAATACGTATGGCTTCTTTATGAGCTCAAAAAACATGGACGAAAAAGTTTTTAAAACAACTCAACAAACAAATAATCAACAATTTATGATTTTTTAAAAAAATATTTTATTTTTGTCATTTTATTTTAATTATGTATTTACATATGTGATTTGTGTAATTTAAAAAAAAAAAAAAAAACTTAATCATGTCAATGTTTGCAAAAGTGTGAAGGAATTTTTTTTCAAAATATTGTATCAAAGCATATGTGTTTAAAGTGTTTAATTTTAACTTGAATCTTAATTTAAAATCTATGCTAATGATGAATTCTTGAATAAATAAATGACGAAATGAATTCTCTAAAATAAATGATGAAATGAATTCTTTCATACCACTTATTCATAAATACCACAGCTTTGTGTTTTATCATATGTTGAATATAAAAAGCATATAGATCAGGGATCCCACGCATCAGGTAAAACCTGGAATTGTCAGGTAATTTTATTTTAACTCAAAAAAATCAGGGAATAGTCATGAAAGGGTGTTTTTTTTTCTTTCCCTACCTGCAATATTACAAAATTACAAAAACCTGCAATATTTCTATATCATACCTGAAAAGTAACCAGTCTTAAATTGTCAGTAACAGTAATCACTTACTGAGATTCAAGTTAAGTAATTCTAACATCTATTACAATTGTTTTTTATAAAAATTTCTCATTTTAGTCAAACTGAAAGGTTTCCATCCTCATTTAATGTTATATTTTTACACAGAAAATCTTATATTTTGCATTACACAATAAAAGAATTTTACGTTTTCTAATGAAAATATGGTCTCGATTTTCATTGAAATTTATTGGGTATACTTGGAATAGTCAGGGACTTTTTTTCTCTGAAATTGAGTGGGCAATGTATGAAATGATTTATATTTCACACATTTTCTAGGCATTCTATAGAATGCCAAATGAAAAACCGGCAAAGTAGAAAATCTTCTGTGGCCATGAGATGATGATTAAAGATGATGAGATGGATATTTTGTGCAACATTTGTTTCTAAACTGAAAATAATTGTGACTTAAATGTGAATTTTTTATTAGAAAATTTTGTTTCCCTTNAAAATCTTCTGTGGCCATGAGATGATGATTAAAGATGATGAGATGGATATTTTTTGCAATATTTGTTTCTAAACTGAAAATAATTGTGACTTAAATGTGAATTTTTTATTAGAAATATTGGTTTCCCTTAATAAGAAAGGCATAAATTATGTTTTGTACAGCTTTCATTTTTCTTTACGTATTTNTTTTTTTTTTTTTTTTTTTTTTTTTTTTTTTTTTTTTTTTTTTTTTTTTTTTTTTTTTTTTGAGAAATGCACATCATTTACATAATGACCTCATCAGGACGTTTTTTTTTTCATACTTTGCCTAAGTAGCATTTGTAATTCTATAGAATGCCTGGGTATTATATACAATACCTGAGAAAGTATGTAATACTTCTCATATTTCATACCTTGCCTAAGAACATCCAGCATTATATACAATGCCGGCGTTTCATACTTTTCCGATAACAAAAAGAGCAAATGAGACTTAAGTATGCCCTATATGATTGGTGTTATAGAAACAATTATTAGAATGACATTGTTAGTCTTATTTTTATGTGACATTTCTGAATCCTTTTTCTAATGTAGGATCATCCAGACTAGGATTGCCTGGTGTAGATGTTAAACTAGTACTGGAGAGTGATGGAACAGAAGTTGAAGATGATATTTATTTTCAAACAATAGACAGGGATACTATATTTATTCTCCTTTGCCCAGGGGAAAGGTGGCTACCCCCTGGACTTGAAGCACTTAGAGCTGGTATGAAATTTATTTATTTTTTTTAAAATATAATTTCATTTGAATTCCTGTTACTAAGAAAATTAAAAGATAACTTATAATATGCTGTTGGGAAAATGGCAAATCCTAAAAATCTTCTGTTATCGTGTTATAAAAAGTGAAAACTAAGAATCATGCTGATACTGTATTTGTGACTTAAGTAACAGAATTCGTTTCCTGAATAATAGCAAAAAGGAACTTTTAAATAATTTTTTTTAATTTTCTGGTTTTTAGCTTTTGTACATAAATGTAGCATTGGGCAATTTTACTATGTATAACAAAGATTGTGCATCCCTGCTTTGAACCCCCCCAAAAAGTATTATTTGAACTGTTGCAGTACAAATAAATATGCTATTAAAATGTTTGAATTTGTTTTATGCAGCCATAACTGCCATACCTCGCATTGTCTGTGAGACGATAAATAGCATGGAATTGATTGACAAGCAGCCTTCTTGGAAAATAATGGATAATAAGGGAAGGATTACGGTAGTTTTGCATTGGGATCAGCGTGACATGCGAAGGCCCGGAGCCGACGGTAGAAGTCGACACGGAGATAAGGAGGCATTTTGGAGGGTGGAAGTGTGTTCGAGTGATGTTCAGACTGCTGACAGTGCCACTTCAACGACTGAGGGGAACAGTGTTCCTCGTTCTAAGCTCACACTCGAAGGTCTAGGTCCAAGGCCTTCATCAAGAATGCTTCCACAGACTGATGACAAAGACAACAGTCCAGAACACGATCACTCTCTTTGTGACTTTCACTGTTCGGCTCTCCACGAGAAAGGTGCTCAAATTCAAGTCAATAAGTCCGTCGCTACCTCGCCCATTCAAGAAGTGCCCGAGGGGACTGCTATTGCTATATCCACTGCCACGTCTTCTGGAGGCGTTACCAAGATCAAAACCGGTAAGGGACACGTGCGCTTCTTGGACGTTGCAGAAGAATCAAAAATCCCAGCTCAAGACGAATCAGAATCCGACACGGAGAACACGGCGAACGAGGAGGAGCAGCTGTCGGAACGTTACTTGTTACTCGTCGATCAACTTTCGTTGGAACAAAATCGCCATCTTGGTGTCAAGGATATTGGCATCATTTTGGAGAGATTGAGCTCAAAGATAGTTGATGTGGATAGGCTAGAAAGAGAAAGGGAGAGTACGGATGTTCATAACTGGACAATCAAGGCCACTATAAGAGGTGAGGTCCTTAGAGAAATAGGAGTCATTTACAATGGACAGTATTATGGCATAATGGAACATCCAGGGTACTTTTGATGCATCGCTATTGCTGGTAAAGCTGGAAATTTCATAATTTGTTATGTATTTGACCTATAGAAGCGGTGCTTGAGCCATCGCATGGTCTTGCATATTATTGAATTGAGCGAAGAGGATATATAGTTTATCGCGCCAGTATATAGTATCTCAAGGTAGTCCAATCTGTCGCAGATGATGGTGATTTGTAATGCGGTATGAAATAGCAGTCACTGCCAATTGGGTTTGTATTGGAATAAAACTTTATATATGCTGTCCCTGATCTCATTAACTATATTGTTGATCTATGAATATATAATTAAAAATACTGCCTCTTAGTTACTTAAAAATGTTGCTTTTTTTAAAGCAGCTCCACTTAAATGTTATGCTACTTAGGACTTGTTTTTTTTTAAGGAAAAAAAAAGAAATTACCTTTGAATGTATGTATGCTCCTCTATCTGTGTGATGATTTACTTTGTTAGATAAGAATTTTTATATTGTGAGTTTTAGCATGTTTCAAAGTATACTAATTTGTTTGTTGTTGACCAAAGTGTTCCTATGAATAATGCTTTAACAACACTTTGGATTTGGAAATAGCAGCAGAAATAAATTTAGTCACGAGGAAATAAAAGGGTCAGGGACAGCCTTGTTATTTTGATTTTGAAGATTTAATCACTGCCATAATGTTAATATCTGTATGGAGTGCTGTCCTTAAGGTTAAAGAATTGTTTTAAGTCTTATCCTTGCTGGCTAGCTGTTGCAGATGTGTGGCTGGGAAGGTATTTGGGATATGATTTTTTCCAAGTCCATTTTGTAAATAAATGTATATATACATATATATATATATATAAATATATATCTTATTATCATGCATTGTAGATAGATTTTAGTTGAATTGTTGACTCTGTTTATATTTTTGCATGCAGGGCAGTGCCTGTTCTCAACTGATGGCATTGCCTATAGCAGTATCTGCAGCAGCCATGTTTTCCTCTCAATGGAGTCTTCCCATTCTTATATGAATATATAACTATTTATATATTGTTGGAAAATCTTTTGTGGGAAGATTCCATCTAATCTGTTATGTATATTGAGATTGTCCCCAGTTCAAGAAGATATGTTTTTATTCTAAATATAATTTTTACTTAAAAGCTTGTATGAAATGTTGATTTTTTAAAAAAATATTTTATGCAGGGCTGTGTTTATAAATCATATCAAACTTGTACAAAGATATATTATCGTTTTTATAAGGAATACATCATTTTTCAGTATATTTTTATGATTATTTTTATTTTTGTTTGCCTTTGAATGTTTAGCTTGTATATGTTGATAATAATGGAACATATCTAATTGCATCAGGCTATTATATTTAGCTATACAATGTCTTAAAATACATTATTTTTAATTCAATTTTTTTTCAAGTTCTTAATTTATTATTCAAACAGTTTCCCATTAAAGCCAAACGAATAATTTTTATAAATAATTTTATTTAAATAACTAAAGTAAAGATTGCTTGGTAGGGAGAATTTTTTTTATATTTTTCTTTTTATATAGCTTAGAAAAAAATTATTGAATATAAAACCTGAGTTTTGTTAATTCCTTACAGTATTTTCACTTGTGTTGCTTACGTTTAAGCAAAATTTCCCCCTCCCCTCTTTTTGATTTTTCTTTTACTATGCAAATTTAATCTTTTGGGTTATTTACTTTAGATGCTTCATAAGATAAATTTTTTTTTTGTATAAATTGAGACATTTTATTTAAAAAATTTATTCTGTTCAGCATTTGTTTATGATTCCATTGAGAAGTTTGCCAATGATTTATTAATATTCAAATTGCGATAGAAAAAAGAATCGTGATTATAATAGTATTGCTAAAGTAATGCAATAAAGATTATTCCTCTTTTCTTAAATTTTTTTTCTTTCTTAATTTGAAATAAAAAATCCCAGCTTTTTAGAATATTGATATATGAATACATAACTCTTTATTAACTATTATTTTAATTAATTTTACTTTATAAAAACATTAAATAACATATCTGAGACATAACAAAAATTTTAATATGCTTGCTACTTAGTTTCATATTAATGACCATTTTATGTATATCAAATAAGAAATTTACGTTGCATCAAAACAATTGCAATACTTTGCATTTCACTAATATTCACTTACTTCACTTTATCTATTGGCAACAATACAATGCAATAAACAAGCTGTGAACCACTGTCTGCCGAGGTAGTAGAAAATAAATTGTGTTTGAATCTGTAAAAGTTACTTTCAAAAAGTTTGTTTATTTAATATATTTGAGAACTTGGAATTGTAAATTATTGTACTATATCTTTATCTAACAATGCAAACCTTGTTAAATTTGTATTGCAGTATAAGAAAAACTGTTAATTAAAGCATTTTTATTCTAAGATATTAAAATAATAACGATCTAAAAGATATTAAAATAACATTTAATTAAAAGAAATTTATTTTAAAATTCAATAACATCAATTAATGTTCCATCTAGAAAATTTAATACAAACATAAATTTCAAAACCTGAGTGTTTTCAATGTGTCATTTAACATTCTTTTTTACTGAAATATTCGAATAATGGAACCTCACCAGCTATTGCTTTATAAAATTTTTAAGTTTGGCGATGAATGTATATTTTTTTCCTTTAATCCAAATGTGGGTTAGTAACCTTTAAGTAATACTTAAGCATGTAAATGTACATTTTATATAAGTTAGTAATATTTAAGGTATGGAAAATGTTTGGCCACAAATTTAGATTTTGGTGAAAAAACTGATTTTTAATAAAGTTATAAATTGGTGAAAAATAATATATTTAGAATTTTTTTTTTTTTTACACTTACATTTAAAATTTAATGTAAATATTTTTTCTGCTTCTAATCCATTACATATTACTAATGTAATGTCTTGAGTGTGATTAAACTTAGGGCCAGTGGAAAAGTTAAGAATATATCAATTTCTAGGTCACAGAAATTTTAATTCTTGAGGAAATATAATTTGAAATCTTAAATTTTTTATTGTTAAGAAAAAAAGGTATTTCACTCTCTTGTATAATCGTTGTTAAATCTAATTTTGTAAATGAAGACATTTTTCTAAATTGTTTTATGTGTTTGAAAATAATAAATTTAATTTGCACTTATTAAGTAGAAAATAGTATTTTTTATATTAATTAGTAAATGCGCATGATAAAAATAAGAAAATAATTAATAGAAAAAAACTAAAATGCATGTGAAATTTAAATAGTCAATAACTTCACTTTAGTATTCATTATATAATTTATTTTATTTACTTAATTACAAATATTTTATACCTAATTACATTTTTTTTTAATGTGTTTCGATTGTTCGTGTTTTAAATTTCTCTTTTAGAGGTATTGTAAGACGATTTAAAAATGTTAATTGTTGAAAAAGTCATAATATAATTTAAGTGTGTGCGCTTAGAGCTTAGTTTAAATTTTTGTGGTTGATATTATACTGTTTAGTATTTTACTGATTAAATTTTAGAAAAAAAAATGGATTCCAAGAATTTCGGCATAAAAGTCTGGGAAATATCTTCCAAAAAATTGACAACACATTGTAAAATCATTAAATTGGATTGTGATTGATAATTGTGGTATTTTCTTGTAAATGTATTTTAATTATCTGTTAATTTTTTATAGTATATTTTGAGATTGTGTTATAAGTAAAATAAATTGGGAACTCAAATAACACAGCCCTGTATATGCTTATATGGTGAGAAAGGTGTTTTTTGACAGTTGTGTTTGCTATAGATGTCTTTTTAAATGCATGCTTTATTTCAAATATTCATCTGCTGTTTGGGTGTATTTTCTGGCAGCTATAGACTCCATAAAGATTCTCAAATCACAAAGACAATGTTATATGTGGCCTATGCACAGATTTATATGATGTCAATTTCGTTGCACATTAAATAACTATTTGCAAATTATTCCTAATTTTAAACCATCATTGGATGTTTTAAATCTTTTTATAAATGATCGTCACCCAACCAGTTTGAAGATATGTGTGAGTATTTGGTGTACTTGTCTAAACTTTTGTTTCATTTAAAACATGAAAGTTAAAATTTAAATTTTTGTAATCAAAATCAGTACAATTTTACAGAATTAGTGCCAAATATATATTTGTGTAATTAAGTAATTTTTTTTCGTTTAGAATAAATTATTTTACTTATCCAATGTTTTATAAATGCTAAAGATTATTATTTTTAATGTTTTTTTTTCATTGTTATTTGTTTTTAGAAGTGTCTTTTAAATTCAAATTTCTTAAGTTCTCATAAGTGTGGCACTGAGAAGTGCTTTGATTATATCATTTTTTAATTAGTTCCTGTGCTAAGATAAATCTTAGAAGTGCCAATTTTTTAATTGTTGATTTTTATGTGAAATTATTTCTAAAATAGTGCACAAGAGAATGCCGCTATAATAGATTTCTAGTGCCTGTTACTTACAATTTACAAATATAAGTTATAGAAAACTGTTCAGTTCAACATAATTGGAGTAGACTATTTAATAATCATATTTGTAAAGCTGGGATTTTTTTTCTATTTACTTTTAATATTCTTTATTAGCAAAAATGTGAAATAATTTTTTTATAAAATATATTCATTTCGTGGGAAAATTTTGTTAGACAATGAAAAACTTTCATTTTTAAAACTAATTTGTATTTCACGTATAATGTTAAATGTTATATACTCTGTATAATGTTATATATAATGTTAAATAACCTAATAATTTTTAGTGGTTTAAATTAATTTGGGGTTATTTTCATGCAAACCATTACTAAGAACATGAATTCCTTTGGTGAAGGAATTTTGAACAGATTTATGCTTCATGTTCTATTACGTGTTTTATTTTAGTCTTCTTAATGTTTATGAATATTAGAGCTAAGTTCATCTTAGAGCAGATGGTTCCTGACGTATAGGTTATAGGATTATTCTGAGTGGGTAGAAAAGTTCTGCTTCAGCAATCCAAGTAGCTCCAAAAATAATTTTTTTTTTTTTAAATTTTAAATCTTGAATATTTTTTGTGTTAAGCACTTAGTAAAACAATGCCTACTATATACTGGTTTTTCTTGTTTTAAAAAAAAACTTTGTACCATTTTATCCAATTATTTAATGAATAATTTTGATTTTAAGACATATTCATTGATCCTACAACAAATGTGGCCATTGGCGTATGTCATGGTTTGAAGAAAAATTGAGCAAATATAGTTGATTTCTAGAATTTAATAAGACTTATGATTGGATTTTTTTTTCTTCATAAAGTTTAGTTTCCCTTCATTTTAAATATTTATCACCATTTTAAGTTCCGGTTGAAATTTTTTGGGTCAAAAACTGGTGTCAAAGAAATAGTTATATAGTGTGGTAAAAATGAAACTTGCTTGTTATGTTACAAAGGTTGGTTGGAAAGGTTACGGTTAATCTTCCATCACTTGTTTTATTATTTTGCAATTTTTATTTTAACAAGATTTGACATCTTTCCCAGAATTTTAAATTTTATGTCATTGTTTTATATTATTAAATATTCTCGTTTTATAACTCAATGTGGTGAATTGTTTTTCAGTCAAATCGGGGATCAAAGTTTTCAGTATTTTGATGGATTTCTCTCTTAAAAAATCTTTTCAGACTGATTCAGGTAGAACAAATAATTTTAGAGTAT